TTGAAATTTTTTGAAATCCGTAGCAGACGCGATAGAGAGATATATAAAGCAAATTCCCACTAAATTTCAAAGAAATCGGTGGGGTAGAACTTAAAAAATATCATGTCAACCACTTTAAAAAAAGTAGTTTCGAGAAAATCGCGTTTAAAGTTTGAGAAACAATTTCAGTAAAATGACTCACAATAATATTTAATATTCACTTTGGATTAATCGCGAATCCCAGATCCATAAATTGGGCCTTCTTCTACTTCCTACTCAACGTTTTACGAAGTTCTTTCTGCTAATCGAGCTGTTCTGCCTTCTATTGAAGAAGCAGAAGTAGAAGCAGCTGCGTGACAAAATCCACTGTATCTGCGAAAATAATTCGAATTTTGAAAAATCCACTTAAGGACATATTTTTAAGGGTCTAAAATTTGGAAATATGCAAAAAAAAAAAATTCGAATTTTTTAAATTTCTAGACCAGAATACCCCCTTAACTTCGGACTCAATTTAATTTATTTAATTAATACTATTTAATATATATTTAATACTATTAATGTATTAAATACTATTTAATATATTTAATACTATTAATAGTATTAAATATATTTAAGAAAAGGTCGTGGCAAGACAAAGTAGGAGAAAAGATGTCCCCAGTTCATTTGGGCTAATTTTTTTCCTGGACTTTTCCAGTACGATGACAAATATTTTGGCGTAGTAACATCTCTTATAAGCTCTTAATAATAGCAGCTCTTAAAAATTACGTGTTTCAGGTACAAAATAAACATTAATTTTTTTTGTCGAACCGCTTGATAATGTCTAATAGTATATTATACCCCTAGGAAAGTAAAGTAAGAAATGTCGCAGATCACATGTAATTAATACATCCACTTCCGAGGAGTGTATACTATTTTTTTCCCCGGCGAAGGTGGAAGCGGCAACTTCGTTTAGCGCAGCGGAGCTAAAGTTGACGCTTTACGCCCGACAGGGAAAATAATAATATGAATGTATTGGGACGGATCTCTGTAAAAATACGCTTGAAAATCGGATCAATAGATCTTGTACAGAATGTAATTATATTTTTCAAAAATTTATTTTTATTCCAAAATTATTTGGTATGTCTTTGCTTATTTTTGCACATCATCCCTTCATATCAATTTGTAATATATACTAGCGGACCCGACAGACGTTGTCCTGTACACACGTCTTAAATTTAGAATTTGTAGAAATGAGCTTGTATAGTTAAAAACATCATTAGTTAACAATATTCAATGGGCATTCCTCAATAATTAACATTTTCGTAAATATAAGCCCATTCTGATTTTATACTCATGGAGACCTTTCATTTGAGTACCCACCATGAATTTTTTCATATATCTTATATATATGATATTTATAAAATATATGAAAAGTGCATGTGGGCACTCAAGGTCAACAACGATTTATAAATAAAAAATCTATTAAATAAACATTTTCTCGTGGACTGAATTGTGAATCTAAACCATTCTGGAATTCACCGGAAGACACACAAAAAATTTCATTAAAATCGGTCCAGCCGTTTAGGAGGAGTTCAGTGACAAACACACGCACAGAAGAAATAAATATATAAAGATTAATTTTGAAATTTTTTTTGTAGAACGAAAATTCATCCTTATTTTATTTATTGTAAAAACTCCGATCGCGGATGTTTTTCGGAGTGAAATTCGAAAGCACTC